ACACTCTTGTCTTTTCACCATTCAACAGCGTTTTCAGACTTTTATCTGCTCATTTCAATAATTATTTTGTTTAGATTCAAGATGTCACTCGCCGATAGAAGTGATGGAATTCTAGAGACCCATGTGCAATGGGATGAAGTGGAGAAACGAATGCAGGAAGCTTTCGGAACAACTGCTACGTTCGGACCTAACAAGTCTGTTAAGAACATTGGAGAGGGAAATGGCTTCATGTCGCGTATTTCTCTAATTAATCCCGATTGGCAAAACAAATCTGAGGGCTTACCTGATTCTTTCGTAGCAAAGGTAAGATTTTTCAAAGCAGACTGACAGGTTGCAAATAATTATTTTCAGATTTGCACAGCTCTCACTATGGTTGACTCCAGCGCCCAAAAGAAATTGAGCTTTGATACCGATTTGGTCATCGAAAAGATACTTCAAATGTGTGCGACTGTGAGTTCTATTGGAAATACTATAAATGGTTAACAATAACTCTGTAGGGTCACAATGTGGAAGTTGAAACCTATAAGATTATGGAAAAATACAGTGAAGGCAGGATACCGTTGCCAAGGGTAATCACCTATCGTTATGCTAATGTTCATGCTACTCCAGATCTATGCATCGCGGAAGTTCTCAGATGAAAACAAAACAAAAGGATATCTCCTTATGGAGTACCTCCCTGACTTGACTCCATGTCATATCGTTGACAACATCAGTATCGATGCAATGAAAAAGGTTTGTACTGCTTTGAACAAGTTTAAAAGCTGTTTAATAATAGGTTTTGCGGTCAATAGCTATTTGGCAGGGAATAGGAATGAAAATGACAGAGGAAGAGAAGAGCATCTACTCTACAACCTTTTTATCAGATGATTTTTGTGACCTGTTCGCTCCTCAAGTATCATCGTCGCACACACTTTCCAAATTTCAATCTTATTTTCAAGATGATAGAGCAATTCAATGACAAACTGCAATCGTTTTGTGGTGAAGAGCACAGCAAACTAATCAATGAATATCATGATCTTATGATTGAGAGCTGTTCTAAAGAAAACTACATGAAGCTTGATGCTCTACCAGATAAATTGGGATATAAAAAAGTGTTCGTTCATGGAGATCTTTGGAGTACTAACATTCTGTGGACGAAACCAAATGAAGATTATGAAATCAGAGCGCACATTGATTTCCAGGTATCAGAAATAATCAGACTCCCTATATGATACATCTCAAGACTGCGAGTTTCAATTCCTCCGCTCTTGA